AAGATAGTTTAAAGGGATAAAGAACTTTTTTTTTGAATATTTGAACTAACTTTGTATATATATATATATATATATAATTTTTTTCAAGAAAATCTGACGATTAAAATAAAAGTAAGGCCTCTCATTGTATATATATTGTAATGGATATATAAATGAGTTTGCGTGGATTTTTATTTGTATGTATATGTGCATATATATGTATGTATGTATGTATATATAATTTTTTATGTGGGTAATGATACAACTAAAGCCTCTTGAAGCAAAATACGAAATTTGACAATAATTCTTTCGACCAACTTTTCGACGGTCTCGTTGTGTGTGTAAGTAACTATGTGTGCGTCCCCAACGATTTAAATAATATTTATTTAATATTTATTAATATAAAATAAAACGAATTTTAGTTTTATTATTTTTAAACAATTTTTGAGGACAAAAAATACGTTTTTTTTTATAAAAAAGTCTCTTTGATAATAATTAGTATTTTTTATTTATACTAATATATAATTACTAGTAGTGTGTTTTGCAATATTTTAAATATTTTATTGTTTTTTACTTCAAACTATTTTTTAAAATAATTATTAAATATCAAGTCGTTCTTTTAACTTAAGTATTATAAAAACGTTTTTTACTTCAAACTTTTCTTAAGATTTTTTTTAAACAAGTTTCTTAAAAATAAATTCTGAATATCGATATTCAATCGACGAAAAGGATTCTTTAAGTCTTTTTTACAATATCCTAAATATTACAACATTTTCTGTATTTAAAACAAATTAAATAAATATTTACTGAGTTTTTTTAATTTTTTCATGTTAGATGTGAATATTTTTACAATATCTGAAATTTTATTTTAAATTTAATATTTAATTTTTCTACTAATTTTTTTTTAAATAAATATTAAAAATATATTTTCTTATTCTTCTTAAAATATATAAAATATTTTCCACTTTCACTATTTTATAAAAATTATTATTTACTTTTACTATTTTTTAAAAATATAAGTTTTTTTTCAAATAAATACAAGATACATATCTTTTTGCAATACAATATTACAATTATTTTACCTCTAGTTTTTAATTTTTCTAACAAGTTTTATTAAAATAATTATTAAAATTATATCCTCTTGTTATTTTTAAAATAGAGTATATATTTATCACTTTACAAAAAATATCTTGAATATTATTCTAAATATATAATAAAATTTATTTTAAAAAATAAATATTAAATAATTAACTCTATTTCATTTTTCTAACAAGTTTTTTTTAAATAAATATCAAAAATATATTCTCTTTATTCTTCTTAAAATATATTAAATATTTTCTACTTACTGTACTTTTAACTATTTTTAAAAATAAATATAAATATATTATGAGTTTATTTAATATTTTTAAAAACAAAAATAAATATATTATGAGTTTTTTGTACTGCTAATTTGTTTCCAAAATGAAAATTAAATATGCATTTTTTCTAAAATATTATATTTTTTTATAATATATCAATATCCTCTTTATTTTTTTTAATATTCTAAATATTTTGTTCCTTCAACTATTTTTTATATAAACATATTTTATATAAACGATATAAATACTTATTTATATCGTTTCTTCGGGACGCACATTTTTAGTAAGTCGCTTTTTTGTAAGTCTTCCACTAATGAAAATTTTAAACTAATTCGACAAAACTATGTCGCGTATATCGATAATAACTAATTAATTAATAGTGAATTAACTAAATTTAACAAAAACTAATTAATTAATTCATTGATAAATAAAAAATTAATAATTGTTTAAAAAACTATTTGTAAGTAATAAACGATACATAGGACACAAAATTGTTGCAATTTTGTATACTATATATAGTTTAGTAGAGATCTCTTAATCTTTTTATTATTAACAAAAAAAGATCTTTTTTAAACAAAAATCGATATTAAAAAGCCCAATCCGCATTTTTGATCGTTCCCCAAAAATTTTTGCAATTTGTTGTAAATATATAAATATAAATAAACTAATATAGATGAATATATAACAAAAATAAATGAAACAATTAATAAATTTAATTAAATTATTAGATAATATATATTAAAAATTTTTGTTCTAATTTTAATATTCTATTATCGCACATAATTTTTGTCGTGTTTTTTGTTTTTGTTTTAAACAATTAATAAATATAAATAAATTTATATATTAAGTTTGTTGTGTGTTGAAATGGAGTTTTTATGAAATTAAATACAATTTTTAATGAATTTTTAAAAATAATGAATTTTGAATATGTTTGTGTGAAAATTCAGTTGCACCGGAAATAAAAGTATTTTTGAAAAGATCTTTGAAGATCTTTGCGATTTAATATAACAACTTTTGGAATATTTTTTAATAATAAAAATAATAACGCAAGATCTTTGGTATATAGGTGAATTTATAAAGATTTACCTTTATTTTTGTTATATGCAAGATCTTTATTAGATCTTTAAAAAAAAATTTACATGATGTTTTACGTTTGGAAGAGAAATTGTTTTATGTGGCATTCAATAATCTACTAAAAACTTTAAGATGCTTAAAAAAAATTAAATTTACTAGATCTTTTCAAAATAATTTATGTATGATCTATTTTGTACGGTGCTCTCTTTTGATCCAGAATGATCTTCAAAGATATACTAGAATTTTTAAGAATCTCAAAAAAAAAATTGAATATTTTTAGATCTTTGATTTTGAAAAATATGTGTTATGTGTTCTGCTGATCTATAATGATCTTAAAAGATCTTTGTGGATCAAATTGATTTCTAAAGTTTTACGTATAAGTCGAACAAGATCTTCACTAGATTGCAAATGTATATTAACATTCTTGCTTTATACGATCTTCAAAGATCTGTTTGATTAATCCTTCAAAATCTTTGTTCTAATTTCTACAAATAAAATTGAAGAAGATGATCAATATTGATTATAACGATTTTTTTTATTTTTATCATTATTTTCATAAAATTGTTACAATTATTAAAATATAATATGCGGTCATTCTAGATCATTTTTTTTATCTTTATTTTATACATCGAAGATCTTATCTTATTTATAACATTTTTTTAAATTCGAATATTTAAATAAAATGTGTTTTTGGAAATTTTTTGAAGATCTTCTTAGATCTTTCAAGATACATTTATTAGGTCATTTTAAATCTTAAATTTATATTTGGAAGATCTTATCTTATTTAAAACATTTTTAATTATTTTAATTTAAAGGATTTAAATATACAATGTTCTTGAAATTTTTGGTAAGTTTTTTGAGATTTTAAAAAATCTACATAATATATAAATTTTATTAGCTTCGTTATTTATAGCATTTATTTGTTTTTAATTTCTAAGGATTTATATAAACTCTTTTTTTTTAATTTTTGAATACCTTCTTAGATCTTTCAAGATATATTTATTTGATTATTCGAAATCTTTATTTTATATTTCGATTATCTTGTTTATTTAAAACATTTTTAATTATTTTAGTTGCAAGGATTTAAATAAACTATGCTTTTGAAATTTTTTGTAGATCCCTAGTTGATCTATACAACTTATTTTTAAAATAGATCATACAGTATTTTGAGAACCTAAAAGATCTACATAATATATAAATTTTATTTGCTTCGTAATTTTCAAAAATGATCACATTTAGACTTGTTATATAATATCAAAAAATCATCTTTAAAATTTAGATTTTTCGATTTTAAAATATCTATTTATTATAAATTAATTTATTTCATACTTTTGATAATTCGTGAATAAATGATCTTTTGCATAGATCTACAGAGAATTAAATAGATCTACAAAATCTATAAAACTTCACATTATTTATTCGAAAATTGATTGATCTCCTGCAATTTTAAAGGAAATGCATTCTACAAATTAAGATTTTTCTATTTTTGATAATTGATTGTTTATATAGATCTACACAGAAATCATAATATATGTATATCAATGTTTTCATATCTAAAATATCTAAAATTATTTATATTTTATTACTTTTTTGGAGCTATGCAAGAAAATAATAATAATGAATGCCATTAAAACCAAAAATATACTGTTTACTAACTGTTCACTTATTTTGTTATAAAACTAAATAGTTTTATAAAAAAATAATAATAACAAATTATGTTAATATTTATTATTATTATTTTAAATAACAATATTCTTCCCCTTGGTGCAACTGATTTTCAACACATCAACACATATCTGTCGAAAACGATTTGCATATCCCACAATTATACATATAAACATAAATAAAATACATTTCTCTTTCTCTATCAATAAATAAATAAATAAAAATAATAAACGAACTAAATAAATAAATAAATAAATTTTGACATTAAAACATAAAATTCCGAGTTCCACTTTTACATGTATCTATATATTTAATAAGATAATAAGATAATAATTACTATAAGGGATTATAAGGGATAAGGGAAATTTATTGTCGGACGGACGGACGGAGAGCGTTGTTGTTGTAATAAATCTTCGTGTAGATTTGCAGTTTGAATAAATATTTTGTAAATTATTTTATTAAATAATCTGTTATGAAACTTGTAGTAATACACGTATACAGTAAAGTTACGCTAATGTTACAAAACACTGTTATATACATGCTACGTAACATTAACGTAACGAATATTTTTTATTCCATAATTTATTCTCATACATTTACTTTGTCGTTGTATGTTAATACTATGGAGTCTTTATATATTTGTATTTATAGAATTTGTCTTTTTATTTCACTAGATCTTTAAAGATTTATTTATATGATTCATTTCCTCTTAACAGATTGCTTTATGTGATCTCCACGATTTTTTTGAACAAATAAGACCCAAAAAAAATAGTTTTTTAGATCCTTGTCGTAAAATTATTTGATGTAAAATCATTCTTTAAGGTCTTTAAGTTCAAAGTTAACTTGATTTCTTCACGTTATCTTAAAGATCTTCTTGCATCTTCAAGATAATCAAAGATAAAGTAAAGTTACGGCAATATTACTTTACTCTATTTACAAATTACGTAACATTAACGAAACGAATATTCTTTATCTTGTAAATTAATTTTAATCGTTTTATTTTAATATTTTGAAACATTACTTAACTTAATATAAATAATATACTTGAGCGAGTTAATATAAATTATATTAAACAACGTAATATAAATTATATATTTTACTAATTATTTTGATATACACAATCACGAATAAGAAACACAAACATACGTTTAAGTTGCGTTAATACTATGTAACTAATATTACTAAACACTGTTATATACATGTTACATAACAATAATGTAACGCATATTTTTTATTTGTCGTTATATGTTAATATTATGACACAATGAAATGAAAACGTTACGTAACTTGAACAAGATAATATAAATTATATTAAATATTTTACTATAAATTATATATTTTACTAATTGTTTTGTTTTATACAATTACGAATAAGAAACGCAAACATACGTTTACGTTACGTTAATATTATGTAACTCATATTACAAAACACTGTTATATACACGTTACATAACAATAACGTAACGAATATTTTTTATTTTGTAAATTATTTATTTATTTATTCATAAGCAAGCCGTAATCATTAATAATAGATATTACTTCAGACTTAATTAATTTTGGTCGTTGTATGTTGATATTATGAAACATTGAAACGTAAACGTTACGTAACTTAATATAAATTATATTCTTGAACAAGTTAATATAATTTATATTAAACATCTTACTATAAATTATATATTTTACTAATTAATTTGTTATACACAATTAAGAATAAGAAACGCAGACATACGTTTAGGTTACGTTAATATTATGAAACACTGATATATAATTGTATATATATGATAAACATACGATCCAAAATAAAAATTTAACGTTTTTTTAAGGTGTTATTTATTCACAACGTTTTTAACCTTAAAATAAATTATTATATCTAAATATTTTGTTTTTGAGAAAAATTTTTTGATGTAATTAGTTCAGAAACGTTACAAATAAAAAACACCTTCAACTTAGTTTTTTTTTTATTTTGGGTTTTATGGTCCAAAAACGAACATATATATATATATGTTGTATGTATGTATATATATATATATATATATATATATATATATATATGTATATATATAATTGTTTTTTATATCTGCTCTACACGAAGATTTCATGCTTTCAATTTGTATGTGCGTGATATATAAATATATAAATAAATATATATACGAATGCTTAGAGAGCGTACAATAATGTTATATATTATAATTATATTAAATATAAATATAAATATATATACATGTGTATATAAAATTAGCTGCTATTGTATAAGGTGAGATATCTTTATTAATTATATTATTAATACGAGCCCAAGGTTTTCGAGAACTCTTTTCGGTTTTCTTGTTACATGTGTACTATTGTAGATTTGTTTAAATAAAACACTTATGAAGCTGAGGTAAAGGAGATTTTATTATTGTTTATTTAGTTTCTTTACAGATTAAATATTCAGATACATCGTTTCCACATTGTTTACTGTCTGCTATTCTAGAGCCAAATTGTAGGGCTCTTTTGGGAAATTTGGAGGCAGAAAATAGTCCTAAGGAATGGGCAAGGAGACGTAGTAGTAATTTGTCGCCGATGCCTACAGGTAGATTTAAATAGCACCTAAAAAAAATTAAATATATATATATATATATATATATATATATATATATATATCTTGATATGATTTTCAGCCGGTCGTCAAAATAAAAGAAACAAATAAATACAAAATATTTATTTAAAATATACGTTTCAACTCGGATTGTGTGTCATCATTCAGCAATTTTTTGTTAACAGTATCTAAAAAAATTTTTACAAAGATTTTTTTAAAAAATAAACTTAATTTTAATTTAAAATAATTAAAAAATATACATACCACACCAGGAAAAAATAACACAGAAAAAAATACATTGTTTTATAAAATAATTACATATGCATTTAAAAAAAAATAAATATATAAACTAACAATATTAATTGAAACATGTTTTTCTTTTGATTTTTAAAACGGAACTTTATGTAATGTAGTTTTGTACGCAACGACTGCAACGCCAACGAGAAACCACGTGAAAAAAATCTTTGTAAAATTTTTTTTAGATTGTAGCATGTATATTTTTTAATTATTTTAAATATAATATTAATTTTATTTTTTTAAAAAATCTTTGTAAAAATTTTTTTAAATACTGTTAACAAAGAATTGCTGAATGATGGCACACAATCCGTGTCGAAATGTATATTTTAAATAAATATTTTGTATTTATTTGTTTCTTTTATTTCGACGACTGGCTGAAAATCATATCAAGACATGTCTCAATGTCGAACAAAAAAACCTGATTATATATATATATATATATATATATATATATATATATATATATAAATATATATAACATTACCTTTGATAAGCTTGCAATTTGCTAGTAAATGCTAAAACATTTTCATCCAAATAAGGCGTTCTACCTTCGACACCATTATCAGAAATAACCTGGAACAATAAAAATACAATTCAAAAAGTCCTATTTCAATAGTTGATTTGGTTCGTACTCTATTATCTCGTCCAAGATTACGATAAGGTATTCTTTCCAAATCTTGTTCTAAAATCTTCATTAAACCGGGCCAACTTTCTCGTTTGAAAGCATTTCTGTGTTTTGAATAACCACCAAATAATTCATCAGCTCCCATACCCATTAGTAATACCTAGAAATAATAAAATAAATAAATATATATATATATATATATAAATATATATCTTATCAATGTGCACATACTCATACCATGGATTAATAATGGTTTCATATGCTATATTAGGATACAAAATTGTAAGTGTTTTATTACTATTATTATTATTATTGTTTTTCCATGAAATTTCCTTTCATATAATTTATTTAGTTTCAATTTTTTATAGTTAATTTGATTACCACTGAATGATGGCTAAGATGCTAGCCGAAACGTATGGATTTTAAATAAATAAACTTTTAAAAAAACTCTCATACTATTTTTATTGATGTTACGCCCGAATATTAAACTCAAATTAAACATATATATATATATATACATATATGTATATTTTGAAGTATGTATATATATATATATATATATATATATATATATATATATATTTATATATATGTATATTATACATATATATAAATATTATTTTTTTATATTTACTCTGCAAGGTGATTCATATATTTCATCAGTATCTTTCAGTTTTCCTCGCCCCCTTGATGCAAACCATAAGGCTGCTCCAAGACTTTCATCGAGAACACTTTGTAAAGGATATACTAGATGACATATTCTGTTTTGTAATTCTGATTTTAATTCAGCGCGATTTATGTTGATTTTTACAAAATTCCATTGTCTGGAAGAAACATTGGTATAATTATATATATATATATATATATATATATATATATATATAATTACTAACCTTTCAGGACACAGTCGTTTAAGTTCTTCAAAACTTTCCAAACCAGTCACCCGATCAGGAACATTCCAAATGCTTTTATCATCAACTATATTATTTTTCTTAACTTTTTCAAAAGCAACATTTAACAAATCTATCGGAACATCCTTTTCTACATACTTATCAGCTAATAAAGCTAAAATTGTACAATCTAAGCCTCCAGAAAACAAGACACCGAGACGACTGTGTTTACAATTGTGTTCTACAATTTTAATACAATTTTTACATCTTTGGGGAGTCGTTTGTACTCTTACACGCACTGATTGTTGTAATAAGTTTAAAAGTAAATGTACAGTCTCATTTATATTTTCTACATGCAATAAATCATTAAATAAATTTGTAGAATTTACAGAACCGGTTATATGTGTTTCGAAATTGAAATCAGGAATGTTAAATGAATGGTTGTTTTTTGGTTTGATGGGTTTTAGTATGTTTATTTTATATCCAAGTACTGTTTCAAAATTTTGTAATAAAGTTTGTGTTTCAGGTGTGTCGATATTGGTCCATGGATTGAGTTGTAAATTGTATTGTGCAAGGTTTAAGCAGAATATACCGACTGCAGGGACTTCTACAGTATGGGACAAAAAACAACCTGAAATAAAAGATACATACATATATATATATATATATATATATATATATAATATAAATTAACGATGTAAAAAGACCAGAAATGATATTCTTTAGTGGTTTAATGTAAAGAAGAAGTTTATGATTTATGCAAAATAAATCACTATATATAATTTATAAAATATATATTATGATTAAATAGTAAGTATTAAATGTATATATAATTAAGGTGTAGTAATTTAACTTACTTGAAACACTTGTTACCACAAATTCATCATCTCCACTAACACAAAGCAAACTGTGTCTCCCGGTCCGATCCCTCCCAAAATACAACTCATCTCTATCTTTATCAAAATAAATAAAACTAAAAGGACCTTCTATACAACTAAAAACATCCACCACATCCCCATAACAATCTAAATAATCCTTTATCACTTCAGTATCACTTTTCCCATTTTGTACACTTTTGAATTTCCCTCCAAAAACGTCGCCATTGAACAATAAAATCCCGCGTGAAGTTTGCACAGGCTGACTTGTCAAACTGTCACCTTGCTGCCACAGAACGTGACCGGAAAAAAGTGCTTTTTTGTTAATTTTTAAACAATTGTGTATTATTTTATTGTGTGAATCAGGTCCTCTGTTTGATAAAAGATCAGAAAGTGTTTCGTGCTGGAAATGACGATGAAATTGTAAAAGGTAAATTGAGATTTTATATGTTGTATATCATAACCTTACTTTTTGATTTTGTTCTTGATTTGTGGTAGAAATACTGCAGAATATACCGCACATTTTTGTTTAAATGGATTAGACACTTGTTATAAGTCTTTATAGAACGTGCACATTGATAATGTAAAGCATTTATGTTATAAATAAGTTAAAATGTACGAGGTACTTCTAAACGTGTTTTGACGTTTGTAAAAATTTCCTTAGGAGGTGTTCGTAACCTTAAATTTTGTTTGAAAAAACGGACTTTAGGTTTGAAAGGTAAACGGATTTAAATTTGTAAAAATATTTATTTTACTTATATAGATAGATTAGATATATATATATATATATATATATATATATATATATAATATTGGAACTGGCATTACAAAAAGAAAACTAAAGTATTGCTTGAATATATATTGTACATACTTATTGTATTTATTTATTATATAATTTACATATTATTATCTAGGCCTAACCAAAATTTATTATTACCATGACATTCAAGAGCATTATTATTAGGCATGACAAAAGGCAAAAATACTTCCAAGTTGCCGACTGATTTTGCACAAAGGATATCATCATGCAATGTCATTTTATTGTGCATATAAATATATACTCCCTCAAAACATTATCCTTGCCGAAAACCAGATGATACTTTGCACAATATGACTTTTTAACCACATCATCAGTCTTTGGTGGATTAAATATCATCTTCAGCATCTTCTTCTCGAATGGCTTGAGAATGTTATTCGGTAAACTTGTTGATGAAAATATTTCTTCATCACCGAAACTGAATTCGAAGGTGTTTTCTAAGGAATAGGCTTCATCGTCGTATAAGATTTCTGTGAGTTTTTGTTTTTTCTTAGGTTTTTCTTTTTTTGATGGTTTCTTGGATGATTTACTTTTGGAACTAGAATGGAAACAATAAGAATTCTGATAATTGTAAAAGAATAATTGAGTGTGCTTATGATAACATGAATGAAGTAATATTTCAGTAAAAGCTGTAAAATTAGACAGCGAGAAAAATTAAGCCAACTAAGTACATTGTTTATCTTTTTAAGATACTTTTATACTTAACACATAAATGCATTTATAGTTTTTTAAATATTGAGTAGTAAGATAAAGCAAGTAGAAATGTAAATTCATACTCTATATTAGATTCCTTTTCTTCTTCTGGCTTTGGCTTTTCAACGATGATCCCTTCAATTTCATACAAAACCTTCAAACAAATTGGAACTTCTGCTTCACAATCGTTGAAGACTTCTATTTGGAAAGAGACTGGCTTGCCAGCCTTAGATTCCATCCTAAATATAAAAATATATATAATATTTGAAAAATGCATTCTCACATACTATTAAATCTTTTTCTTACATATTATTATCTATTATTATTATCTCCTTTATCCTTTATACCTGCACACTCTAAATTCAGGCTTCACGACCAACTGTGGTTCCACAGGAGTCCCTCTAACAGTGATGACTCTCTCCGTAGTCTTATAGGATATTGTAAAATTCTCCTGCGGCAACACAGTCTTAAAAGCATTGCCTAAAGGGTTCGGTTTGAACGTGACAGGTATCATAAGTAACTGCTCTGGCCACAATTTGACTCCACGTGCAATATGACAAGTAAACTCAGGGTCTTGATGAGGTTTGGAGACTTTTGGTGTGATGACATCGTGTGAGATGTTTTGGAGATTGAGAATCACTCTTTTGCTATCACCTAGGTAAAGGATATATGTTACTGATATGTATTGTATTGGTAATATAAACATTACCTATTACTACTGGTCCAAAGTCTAATTCATCCCCGTCCAAATCGAGCATGAAATATGGACTTCTAACACTATAAAGAACACGTAAACGTAGCATCTCTTCTTTAGGCATCTTGCCTAATTCTTGCTTTTCTGATATCAGTCTGCACAATACATATTCGTCTCGAACAACTGTTTCAGCTGTATGCTGCAGCAGTTTTCTAGCCTCCAATAATTCTTTTGGAGTCACTTCCAATTCTTGGTCTGTGAAATCAGTGTTGATTTCTAATTCCTCGTCCAAAGGTTCTGGTATTTCAGGAAGTTTTGGGATTGGGATCGGTTCTGGAAGAAATGGTAATGGTGATGGAAACTAGTTGAAAGTCGTGTTTATGCATGAAATTCCCGAAATGTGTAAGAATTGATTTAATCAATCGAAATTGAAATTTATTCACTTCCCGAAGAAGTTTGTTTTCATCAAAAAATCCGATTCGCTAATTTCATGTTTTCTCGACGTTTCAAGCCATTCTGAATCGAATGAGACCAACATTTGGAAAAAGAATGTGTGTGTGTATGTGTGTGTGGACTGATTTTGTACCGTAAATCGACGTTTTCTCAAAAATGGCTGAACCGATTTCAAAAATTTTAAAGCCATTCGATGTATCTCGATGAGGACTAGCGTTTATTAATTTTGCGCGACGATCAGCAAAGCCGTTTCTTTGTAAATAGCAGAAAAGTAAACATTTTTTCGTCCACGTTTCTGAATTCCGCTATTCTGAATCGATTTTGAAAATTCAGAAACTGTTCGTAAGATATTGGTTGGGAATCGTGCTGATTAGTTTTTGGTAGAGATCGGCCGGGCCGTTTTCTTGTAATGAAGTGTTAAAAAAAAATCGACGATTTTTATGAATTTTTTTTTGGTGACAGATATCATGGTCTTCTAGATCATACTAAAATATTACGGCCATACGACAAGTCGTTTAATTTTGAAAATTTGTCAAAGTTTGCAAAATCTAATATTGTTTTTTGACGTTTGTCAAAATTAGAACTTTCATCGACGTTTTCTCAAAAACGGCTAGACCGATTTCAAAAATTTAAGTCAATCGATGTATTTTGATGTAGATTATCTTTTTTCAGTTTTGTGCGACGATCTGCCGAGCTGTTTTCAAATTACAAAAATTTGGAAAAAAGTGTTAAACTTTTCGTCCACATTTAAGCTCATTCTACCGAATCGATTTAAAAAAAATCAAAAACTGTTCGAAAGATATAAGTTGGGAATAGTACTGATAAGTTTTAGGTGAAAATCTACAAAAATCGGCAAAAAAAATTTTTTCAACAGTTAATTTTAAGAAAACGGCCGTTTCAGTTGCCGAAATATTTCAAAAAAAGAGCAATAGAAAGGGCAAAATTATAGTCGGAGTACTTTGAATCCTTAAAGATAATTATTTTGGGGATAAGAATAAAAATCTTGTGATAATGAGAAACTATGTAAGAAAAAAATGTATGAAAAAAAATGTAACTTTTTGAAGTATTTTATCGAAAATAAAATTTTAATTGCAAAAGTAAAGAGCGGCTGCATGCGAGTGGAATGGGCAATATAATATTGATAAATTTATATACATAAATAAATAAATAAAGAAGCTAGTAATTATATGTTAACCCACAATTAAGGTCATAAAGTAATAAAACCATAGAAACTAACTAATCATAAAACCCCAATAAATTACAATCACCCGGTAGATCTGTATCACGAGAGTATAATATATTATATTACAAGAAAACGGCCCGGCCGATCTCTACCAAAAACTAATCAGCACGATTCCCAACCAATATCTCTCGAACGGTTTTTGAATTTTCAGAAATGATTCAGAATTGCGGGCTAAAACGTGGACATTTTTTTCACTTTTCTGCTATTTACAAAGAAACGGCTTGGCTGATCGTCGCGCAAAATTGTTAAACGCTAGTCTTCATCGAGATACATCGAATGGCTTTTAAATTTTTGAAATCGGTCCAGCCGTTTTTGAGAAAACGTCGACGAAAGGTCAAAAATCTACTCACACAAACTTCTCTCTTAAATTTGGTCTCATTCGATTTAGAATGACTTGATAGGTCGAGAAAACATAAAATTAGCGAATCGGAAAAAATAATATCTCTTTCGGGAAGTTAATAATATAGGGATTGTCGTGGTAATGTTCTACTTGCCTTGTGTTAATGGTATTTGTTTACTACTTCCTTTCTTAGTTTTGGTGTCACTTTTTTTTGAGCGTTTTTCTTCGTCCTTAGCTTTTTTTTCTAGTGCCTTCAAAGCCTTTTTCTCTTCAGCTTTGCGTTGTGCTTCCCTTTGCTTCATAATTTTAGCACGTTCTTCCAATCGTCTTTGTTTCAAAATTTCCTGGCATTTTACTTCACGAGCTTTTTCTCTAATTGCACTTTCTGCTATTGTAGGAGTTGCACGTATCCTGATATTAATGGAACAATCTGAAAACAAACACAAGGGTATTTATTAGGGCTTGTCGATTTTAAAGTCGCTTAGGAACACATGATTTTCGTATACTAAGGATCAAAATAAGATACTTTGCTGAAGAATCTATACCTCTAAAATGAATTCTGCTGTCTCGTGCGTTGACCCAAATGGGGGTTGAATTTTGAAAAATTTCGTTCTAAATGGGTCAACATTTACACTCGCCAATCATCGCCCAAATATATGACAAACCCTAACTAACTTCGAAAGGCCCATCGTTCAGCTCTCAGGACCTACCCTTAGAGGTCACACATACATAAAATTGCAAAAAATCATTATTTTTGGTATTTTACTCAGTAAAAAGAATAGCTGAAACCATTTTTTTAGATATTAATTTATTATTAAATTTTAGATATTAAATTTTTTGCATTTTCCGACGTTTTGAAGGTTTTTGAACATTTTGACATACCTCAGAAACTATAGTTTCTGAATGGATATGTGTGTTTTGTATGTCCGCATTTTTTTGTCCACGTTTTCGGGCGCACGGATCAACCGATTTGAATGGTTTAAAAAACATTCGATTCCTATTGATAGGGAGATGTGCTGATTAGTTTTTGGCGAAGGCAGGTCTGGCCGTTACGGAGATACGGAGCAAAGAGTACAGAAAATAGAAAATCGAGTTTTTGAGAGAACGGATCATCCGATTTGTATGATCCAAAAAACATTCAGTTCGTAATGACGGGGAAAAGTGGTTATTAGTTTTTGGCAAAGGTAGGCCCGGCGGTTTCGGAGATACAGAGCTAAATGTTAAAAAATGTCAGTTTTTGAGAGAACTAAGCGTCCGATTTGAATCATTCAAAAAACTTTCTGCTTGTTTAAACAAAATAATTACTTTTGGAAAAAAAAATTGTTTCTA